CGCAGGGCCGCGGACCTGCTGAGCCAGGAGTTGTCGCCGTAACTTCTGTCGCTCCCGGATCTCCTGCAAGCGACTATCCATGTCCCAGCTCGTATATTTTTTCACTACCCCGAAAACTCGTAACAGGCGAATAAACGCCGAGCGCCTTCTTCCGGGCCTGCGGAGCACCGCGCTCACCGGCAACTCGGAGCAGGGTCGTTTCTCTTGGCCTCCGTGGGGAACTTCCGGCGCAGCCAGCCTTGGCGCGGAAGTCCCGCCTCCTGGCGTCACCAGACACGGCTCGATGACGTCACCCAGGCAAGAACGAATGAGCGCCGCTGCTGCCGGCCGCGCGCTTTCTGCTGCGGTACGGGCGGGTCGGCTTTGGCTCCCTGAGTGCTCATCCCGACGGATGCTGATAACAAGGAAGGCCAAGGGCGCCGTGCCCGGCCACGACGGGGAGGACGAATCCATCTCATTACATGTAACGATCAGTCTCACACCTATATGTACTCTATATGTAAGGAATGTAAGGGACATTGACAGGAGTAGTGTCCCAGCATTATTTGTGGTACCTAGATGGCAAAGGCAACCTTGATATCTTTTCCTAAGGAATTGGCTAATCAGAATATGTAATCTGTACCTTCAGCAAAGTACAATAGAGTAACAAACAGATGGTCATTTTTATATAGTATTGTGAATAAGTCTTAGAAATATAGGACGTGTTCTATTATATATTCATATTCAAAGCACATATGGAAGTGGCGCTGTGGTTCAAGTGGTAGAGGGCTAGGCTTGAGCTGAAGAGCTCAGGGACAGCACCCAGACCCAGAGCTCAAGCCCCATGACCTATCAAAAAAAAAAAAAACCACGCATACACACAGACAACAATAGTATATTTAATTTTCCGGGACTGTATTTTTAAATGTCTGGGGCAATTTATTGGATAATAGTGTGAATGTCTCTAATGTAAAAGACAAAGTAAATGAGAATGGAAAGACCCAAGAGGAAAATAAATAAAATAGGAGAAAAATTGTACTGTCTGGTAGTAGCTAAATCTGAAATCTTGGTATTCACAGGCCATATGACTCACAAATCATGCATATATGTCAATTTTCAGAAGGAAAGTTTAGCTTATGCTCTCTTATGTACAAGACAGATGGATATTTGATTAATACAAATCTTTAAATACATTTCTCTACCCAAAGTGTTAGAAATTAATTTGCTGGGTGCAAATTAATTTGCATCCTAGAAAAGGAGTGATACATTTAAACTATGGTTATTTAGCATTCAAAGAGAATTACTTTGTACATCTGGAAAATACAAAGATGTTTTGCCCAAAGGTTGTCTTGTATTGAGTTTCATATAATCTACCTAGCAGTCATTTTAAAAGAAACAGTTTATTTGGTTCTCATACTATTTCTTTGCACATAAAACTGAATAAATCTTTCACTCATCATTCTGTTGGATGCGAGCTACTTAGGAGGATGAGATCTGAGGATCACAGTTCAAAGCCAACATGGGTGAAAAATCCATGAGACTCTGAGCTACAATTAACAGCAAAAAATAGACTCAGATGTTAGAGTGAACCAGCCTTGAGTAAAGTAGGTTTGAACTCAAGGGCTCGAGCTCTTGCTTATTTTTCCCTCTACCCTTGCTCAAAGCTATCACTCTACCCCTTGAGCAACACCTCCACTTCAGGCATTTTGCTAACTAATTGGAGATAAGAGTCTTATGGTTTTGTCTGCCCAGGCTGACTTCAACCCATTATCCTGGATCTCAGTCTACTGAGTTGTTAGGATTACATCATAAGGCACTGGCGTCCAATCTCTTGATTATTCTTACTTGAGCCAATTATTACTATAATAGTTGCCAAAAGAAAATCCTTATAGATTGTGGCATTTCACGAAACATCAGACAAGATCTTTCTTTTCTTCTAATTAGATAAGTAATTAATATCCTCATGGACAATTTATGGATATTTCACTCAACGTTTTTCATCCATTACGACAACTGTTTGTTTATTTGACTTTGGGGCTCATTCCTACTGCCATCTCTTCTAGTTACCTGTTCTGCCTTAAGCATCTTCTTAGGTGTTTCAGCCATGGGGAGCTACATGATACCTCTTTGCAATGAAGACACTGAAGGTTTGTCAGAGTTGAGTGACCAGAGTTGTAATCCAGTCTTCCTAGAATTGTTATCCGTAATGCACCAACCAGTTTCTCAGGGAAACTGAAATCAGACATCACCTCATCGTACTGGTCAAATTGTGACACAACTAGCCACTGAAGCCCTGCCACATTGGTTCCTGCTTTCTGCTAATATGTCCCCTTATTCCTTGTTAATCTCTGGCCCAATAAGACAGTCCTCAGGGACGAGTTATATCTCCCAGGACCACTGGCTTCTCCTAGTGAATAATTACTTCTAGGGAACTAGATCTAAGCACTAAGCATAACAAGATGTGCTCATTTCTACAGTGATTCCTTTACTTCTTGGACCTCTTACTGAATGAGTTAAGGAATATATGTGCATTGTGGCTATATCTATAAACACAAGTCACTTACTTTTGTTTATATCATTTACATCTATTATCTATCATTGATCATCTATTCATTATTTGCCTATCCTCTATCTATCTATCTACATATCTGTCTTATCTGTCTGTCTGTCTTCCTTCTGTCTAATATCCATCATCTACTATCTACCTATCTATACATGTCATCCATATCTATCTACACATATGTCTATGCGAATATCTATGTCTACCTTCTTGTACCTTGAACTATCCATTTGTTTGAAATGGTTTCACACAGATATCTCAAGCTCCATCACCAGTATTTCTTTTGCCATTTTTTATTCTACATTAGTGTTTACCTTTCCTCATAATCTTGATTTTCAGTGCTTTCTCTTTGTAAGCATATTCCTGGGCCTTGCCATTTGTAATCTCAGCCAGATGAAAAAGAGAGAAGAAGAAAAAAGGGAGGAGAGTGGAAGAAAGAAAGAAGAAAGCTTGGCTTCTGATACAGCAGGCGTTTCCTTGCCTAACACACTTGAAGAAATCTCTGTTGACTAAGAAGAGGAAGTTGGACTCTGCCCAATCACTATTGAAGGATTCTTTCCAATCACTGTGGACCTTGTCCAATCTTATGACTTGGTTAAGCTTGTGTCTGCCAGATTTCTCCAATTGCTAAGGGATCACTTTTGTTCTGAATAATTTATAACAGATATGTAGTTTAGCTAAACATTGGTGACTCATGCCTGTAATACTAGCTACACAGGAGGCTGAGGTCTGAGGACTGAGACTTGAAGCCAGGCAGGGCAGGAAAGTCCCTGTGACTCTTATTTCCAATTAACCACCAAGAAGCTGGAAGTGGAGCTGTGGCTCAAGTGGTAGAGCACTAATCTTGAGCACAAAAACTTAGGAATAGTAATCAATCCCTGAGTCTAAGCCCCAAGATTGGCTCACAAAAAATGTTGTGATGGTGAGTGCCCTGTCCCCCAACAAGATTTTAACTGCCCGGTAGTTTTAGCATCCATTGATGATCCTTCCTGAATGTAATTATTGCATTAGTGCTTAGAAAATGTTGATTTTTCAATTCTTTCCTTCCCTTTATATGCATTACCTGGTTTCCTCCCAAAGAACTCTCTCTCTCTCTCTCTCTCTCTCTCTCTCTCTATTTCTCTTTGCTTTTTAAAAATATCCCTTAAAGCCTGTGGGTTATTTGTACATGTTGGATATGGTTCTATAAGACAGCTCTAGCCTTACACTCTGGTGGCTCACGGTTTAGAAAGGGATAAAGATATAACCGAAGTGGCAGAAATGTAATAAATTACAGGTGATGCCATATAGATATAACATTCAGGAAACTTCTAAAAGTAACCAGAAAGTTTCTTGTTTTGGTATGGTGCCAATTTCAAAAGCCATTTCTCACCACAGCCTGAAAGTTGAGAATGCAGGCCTTCGAAGGCTGGCATGTTACTCTCTACTAACCCACTGCCAAGGAAAGAGATTTCTGAGAGAAGCTTTTAATTTGGAATAACAACTGTTAACCTATTTCTGTACTGAATAACATTTTGAAACTTTAAATGGATTCAATGATGTATTTCTAAAAGAATGTATAGGTCATGACTAATGTTGCTGTCTGAGAAAGACAACTATAATTTATAAGAACAACCGTCTGAAGGATTATCATGTTTTACATATTTCCCTCTCCCCACAAATGTCTCCATTTTTTTTTTCTGTGAGGATCATTATTAGTTCAACTGCATTTCATCACTGTCTGAGACACAGCTCAGATTCTGAAAGCCATTGGCTTTGTTTAGTTTCTTGTTTGGGGGGCGGTGTTTTAACCTCAGTGCACTCCTCTTTTTGATTCATTTAGGTTTCCTCCAGTGGGCTCCCATATTACTGGATTAATCTATTTTAGGAAAGGACATGACTTCATCACTGCTTTAATGCAGTGGAGGACAGAGGATGATGGCCAAGGTGCAGCTCATCACACAACCCCATTAAACCTTGGCATTACCGTGTTAAATGGCTATTCTGCAGGGCTGATTAATTAAGTTCATGTTATCATTGCTGGAAACTCACCAAGTGCTGGGCACTGGTGTTAATCCAACATGGCACAAAACAAAACCACTGCTCAGAATGGAGCCCTGTGATGACACTATTAAAATCTATCTACTATGTATTTACAATCCTGAAAAGTGCTTTCCTGAAAAGTAAATGATTCCTTACAGTAATGGTGACTCCACATCTTCTTTTTTAATTAAATAAAGAAGATTGAATATAATTTCTGCTCTTTGGACTGAATTATTTCACGTTTGTTTACCAATTTCCTGTTCCCCTTCACCATGGTGAATTAAGGTGAACTGGGACAAAGATTTACTTTTTTTTTTGTATTTATGGTTACATTTATGGTTACATCTCTTCTAGCTAAGGTCATATTGTTTATTGAATATCCAACTATTTACATTTTTTTCTCCCTTGTGCTTCCTTATCACATAAACTAAACCCAACCATGCAGTTCTGATGTCTCTTTAGCAACAGCTGATTCTCCCACCTTTATGCTTATGGATGATGCTCTACTGCTTGAACTATGCCTCCAGTTTCACTTTATTTATTTATTACTGATTAATTGGAAATAAGAACCTTTTGGATTTGCCTGCTCCCACTGACTTAGCATCAGGATCATCAGGTCTCATCCTCCTGAGTAGCGGGGATTATAAGC